GGCCTCGGCTCGTCCGGGCCCGCAGCGCGCGGGTCAGTAGCCGTTCGGAGGCGCGCAGGAGGCGGCGGGAGCGGGGCGGCGGGGCGGGCGCGTCCGGGGTGGGGCGGAGGCCCGCGGGGAGCGCGGGGGCGGAGGCCGGAGCCGAGTCCCGGGGCACGAGCGGGGCGGCTGCAGGGCCCCCGAGGAAGAGCGACTCCTTGCGGCGGGTGTGCGGGCTCTCGAGCAGCGCGCAGAAGCCGTAGGTGGTGAGCGCGCGGGGCAGGTGCGGCAGCGATAGGGCTGCCTGCGAGCGCGGGTCCCAGTCCGTGTGCCCCGCGCTGTCGTCGGCTCCTCTGGGCCACAGGTCCGGCTCGGCTGCGCAGCGCCGGGGCAGAGCGGCGGCCGGAGGCGGAGACTCGGGCGCGCAGGACGCGGGCAGCCGCGGCGGGATGCAGAACTCGGGGATGCGGTCCGGAGTGAGCACGTTGGAGAAAGCGGGCTCCGGAGTGGAGGCGCGGAGTCTCCCGAGGAGCCGCATCCTCCGAGGCTGAGGCTGAGAGTGGTGGCAGGAGGCCCTCCTGCGCGAGAGAGAAGCTGCTGAGTGTAGACCGCTACCAGGGGCCCCCCGAGGGGTACCAACGGGCCTGCGACCCCTGGCCAATCCAAGCCGAGCTCTCCTCCACCCACAAACCTGCCCGCCTTCCATTCATTGGTACTAAATAAACGAAGTAATCGAAATCAGACCTTTCCTTCTTCTTCAGTCACTGTGGGTCGAGAGTTGCAAGTTCAGGGCCGGCTGCCTCGCGGTCCTGGCTGGGGCGCCAGCTTCAGCACTCTGGCCAGGACAGTGGCGCTCCTGTCTTATACTGGCAGCCTGAGTCCCGCCCAGCCGGCCTAGAGCCCAACCCCTGGAGCCAGGGGACAGCCCGCCTTCCAAGTCACCCCTGCCCGCCGCTGCTGGGGCCCCTGCAGTGGGTGCTTGGGTGTGACCCTCCGGTCAGTCTTGGGACCTGCATCCACTCTGCGTGCATGGAGCCCCTTACACAGGCCTGGAAAAGGTTGCAGGTGAAGAGAGGACGCCTGGTCGCCCTGCCCAGGGAGAACTTGTGGTGGTGGAAAATGCTAGCGGCCTGTTGGAGAAGGTGAAACAGGATGAGGAAGCAGGAAGTTCTTTTTTGGTAGGAGCTAAATCCTGTCACCCTGCACAGGGACATGCCCTAGGTTCTTCTATTTTACTGCTTCCACGCACCCGCCATGAGCCGACCAATATGGTTTCCATGGTATTCGTGTACTTATTACACGTCTCCCTCTGCTGGATGGTGGCCTCCTTACTAGCATACAGCCTGGCTCAGTCACTGCCATAAATACTGGTGAAGTGGGTGAATTACGCAAAACTTTCCAGACGACTGCAGACGATCATCTTTTGTCACAAAAGATGGGGCCTCTGGCTCATACCCTAAAAATAGCACGTGATGTTTCCAACGCTACCCTTTTCTCTCTGCTTCAGTGGGGAGGTACCAGTTAGAAAGCCCCTTACAGAAAATCTATGTTGCCTCTTCCCCCCCCCCCAAACTTCATTTTCTAATATGAGAAAACTGGAAGCTGGAGGGACTTGGGGAAATTCCATAAAGGTAAATAAAGTCAGTCAATGGCAGAACCTGGAACTAGCAACTTCCTATTTATTTGGCTTTGCACGTAATGCTTCCTGTTATCTAAAATGTCCTTTCTCTCTCTTTCTCTCTGTAGGAACTCCTGTTTGTTTTCCATAATTCAGCGAGACAGCATCCGCTTCAGGACCCTTTACCGGACTCCCCCTCTACAGTTCCTCAGCCCTTCCTTATTCCCTCCGTACATATTTTCTATACCACCATTGCTGTGTTTAGCATGTTGCTATGGAATTTTTGGTTTACAGGTTTGTGTCCCCTAAGAGACTATGAGTTTCTTGAGGGCAAAGACTGGCATGACTCAGGGACTTTGGGGGGACCTGTTTTGAATATAGGTAAAATAAAAGTGCTCTGATTCAGAATCTGGGCCTGCTTCCATCCCAGTTGCCCTATACAAGAGACAAACCTAGCTGTCTTATTAATTTTTATCCAATTCCAGCACCTGGAATACAATGCCAGGCAAATAATAAGTGCTCAGTAAATATTTGAGTGAATTATATTGTGTGGAATTGAACCTGATCTACAATCCAGGTCTTATGACTGTCAGGTGCTTTTAACCACATCTCTCTCTAACTGCATTATTCAGTTTCTCACAACAAACCAGTGAGGTGGACATTGCTTCTGTTTACCAGATGAGAAACTGAGGCTCAGGTTAAGAGACTTGCCTAGGGTCATTGAAACTATGAATCGTACCTTGTTTCCTAAGGCCCAGCTTTTGGCTAATTTCTTCCTTCCTTCTCTCTTTCCTTTCTTCATCTCCATTCAGTCAGTTCATTATAATTCACCAAGTCTGTTGTGTGTCAGGCATTGTGTGCATGTGTGGATTGTATCGCACTTTACACCCAGAATGTTAATTCTTAAAGCAAGTCAGTCTACTATTAAGTATTTTCCATTATCCTTGCTTTTCAATAATAAGTACCATTATTTCCAAATCCTTAGAGATAAGACGAGTGAATGTTTCCTTTTGTTAGTAATTAATATTTTCTTTCCCTTTTTGTTTTGTTTTTGTTTTTAATGTTTATTTTTGAGAGAGAGAGACAGAGTGTGAGCAGGCAAG